CCCCAAAACCCCAAAACCCCAAAACCCCAAAACCCCAAAACCCCATTTTCATAGATAATAATTGAATCTTGCCATTAATCTTCATCAAAGTTGCTAAAATGCTACTTAAAATTCTTTATTTTTCTTCCTCTCTTCAAGAACCTTGTCATATTGCTCCTGCGTTATTGCTCCGAACTCAAGTTGGCATTGCAGTTTCATGAGCTGATACTCGTCTTCTTCCTCTAATTCCTTCTGCATCTCTGCTTCTTCGTCATTATTTTGTCTCTCTTGTTCTCTCATCATTTCTTCTTCAGCTTCCTTTTCTTCTTGGGCTTCTTTCTCTTCGAGTCTAATTTCTCTTCTTTCTTTTTGGAAGAAGCACTTTTCAATTTCTCTTTGCCAGAATTTATCCCAGAATTGTCTGACGTTCTTCTTCTCATCGCCTTGAGGATTTTTCAAATTAGGAGGCACGTTGTAGAGGAAGATTGTGCCGTCGTTTTCTTCGCCAAATGCTAGGTACTGGCTTCCATCTTGCTGCTTGTACTCTTGGAATGTGATGTAGGTGATCACACTCGAAACACTGGCTAAAGACATTGATGGCTTGTGACTTTGGTCCAAGAAATCCCATACATCGATTCCGTTAGTTTTTGAAATGAAAATTACACCCGCTCTCGTTGGCGACCATACCCCGCATGTGTTGTAAGCACCAAATGTATAGGACGAAGTGAAGATTGGGTCAGAATAGTCGGGAAGGTTGATATTCCATATTCAAAAATTGAAATCATGAACTGTCATGATAAGCTCATCAAAGAAGGGAGATTGTTCGAGAGCTAGCACAGGCCTATAATTTCTTTGGCTTTCTCTTGAAGTCATAAATTCAACCTTTTGAGATTCATTCTCTTCTTTTCCTGTAGGTCTCTTGCTCCAATCTACGTGAATAAGATCTCCTTCATCAGAAGCAGCATAAAAGCATGTTTCCTCTTTATTTCTTAGGAACAAAATCTTAGAAAGACCTTGTTCACCATTTCCATCAAGACTAAACAAGGTAAATGAGATAGTTGGTTTCCAGATAACTTCTCCTGCAAATTTCCTTCTAGCATCTTTAAAAACATCTCTAGAATCCCAGATAATAACATTTCCGTCTTCAGATATTGATATGAAATGTGTTATGTTGTCGCCTGATGGTTTCTTCCTGTCAACCTTGATCCCTCGTGGCACAAACTTCAAGTCGCTCACATGTGCTCTGTGGGACAGGTCCACCACTGACATTGCAGCCGGCTTCAGCTCGGTCACAGACTGTGTGGCCTTGTCCTGGCCGTCATCTTCTTGCTCGCGAGCGCCTCCAGCGTCTTCAGCGTCCATGTCATCTTCAGAGATGACTTTGGTGGTTTCATCGGTGAAGTCCCAGACAGTGACCTGGCCAGACAGACAGCCTCCGAACAGCAGGTTCGGGTGGTCTGGGTGGAACGAAATTGTCGTCACTTCGATCGTCGTGTGCAGCACATGAGTCAGCATGATGTGGTGGTCAGCGAAGTTCAGCACCAAGATCGACGAATCATAGCTCTTGCCTGAGATCTCTGCTCTGTCGTCAAAGCTGATGTTCTCGAGGAGACTCAGGGCCAGAATGTGTGGTTTCGTAGGATGGAACGCAATGCATGAAGCACTCTTGTTCTTACCATGGTCAATGTCAGAGAAGGGCAGAGGCTCGCTTGACTGGTTGGCCATTTTCTCGCTCTTGGTCTTTCTGTCTCCGAGCATTTCGAAGTCATCCTGGAACACATTGATGAGCTCGTTGGACTGTAGAGCTTCTTCGATTCTTGGAGCCACTTTTTCGAAGAAAGTCTCCATCTTGCTCATTTGTTCCGCATTATTTTTGTCGATATCGAGGTTGCTTGAAATGAAGTCAGTTGGGTCGTACTGGACGCTGAGGTTGACTTTTCTGTTGTGGGTAGTCTGAGACTGGAAAGTTTTCATTGTACGTGCAGCTTGGAGTCCAATATCAAGAACCATTTTCTTCTTGATTAGAGAAGTAATTTTCTTGGGCTTGATCTCTACAGGAGCTTCAGTTGGCTCTCGATCATTGAGCAAGAATTTATCACTGTGGAACTCTCACCTCCTTCTTGAAACTCTGACAGTAATTGTTTTTCTTGTATTTTTGACACTAAGATCTTCAACTTCCTTCAGATTCTGTTCCTTAAATTCTGACTCATATGGAAGTTGAGCAACGAAATCTTTCTCTACATAAACAGGAACATCATCTTCACCTTCATTTTCTTCATCTGGCTCTTCTGGATCTTGGTCATTATCTCCCTCTCCATCAGGATCCATTTGAAGATCCATCTCCCCCTCCTCCATATCAACATTATCAACTTTATTCTCCTCTCTATTATCGCTCATTTAATTATATAAATTTAAATTTTTTATTTTAAAAAGGGGTTTTGGGGTTTTGGGGTTTTGGGGTTTTGGGG